GGTCTCCTTGTTTAGTGAACAAAGTAAGAGATCATCTACATATTGTATCAGAAGAGAATCACAAAAGAAATTTATGAATCATGTAAATTTGGATTGAGGATCTGGGGAAAATAGGAGGGGGCTTCAGTGAACCGCTGAGGTATGAATGTCTAGGTATATTGTTGTTCTACCCAGAGGAAGGCAAAAGGGTATATCCTGATCTACAGTCTACAGGCACACTCAAGAAAGGCCAAACAAAGATCCACAACAGTGAAGCAAATGTTGTTAGGCAGAATGGATGACAAGATGGTAGTTGAGTTAGGAACTAAAACTCACTGGTCTCTGAAACTGGCACTAACAATAGTCTTAAAAGACCCATGCCAGTGTTCTACCCTGTGATTCTCCTTATGACAAACTACACTTTTAGGGAGCATAACACAAAAGAGTAACACAAATGAGGGCAAAAAAGGGATGAAAAGAAGGGCTTGGTTTTGCCAAAAATGCAAACAAATGGTAAAGAATAACAAAACCAGGGTATCAAACACAGAATAAATAGTCAAAGAACTCACCACAAAGAGAGTGGAGTTCAGACCTGGTGCTGACTCGACAACATCACTGTGGACTTGATAAGTGGCAAACAATAAGGCACAAGGGGTTCTGCCCCAGTTGAAGGCTAGGGTCTGTGGTGATAGGCAGAGCAGATCTTATCCTGATGGAATTTCAAAGAAAAAGACTGTGAAATAAATAAAAATCACTGAAATGAGAACAAATGTTATTTATTCAGTTTGCTAAACAAAAGAGTCACCAATCATTTATGTTTGGCAGAGACTAAAATGCAGGTAAAGTGATAGGAAAGCTGTACAGTGGAAAAAGGGAAGGTATTAGGTATGCCTAATTGGAGGCTGTTGGCATGGGGAAATCAGAAACAGGCTAACTAGAAGTGGATCATCCTATGTGATTTGTTAGGAGTGCATATTTGGCTTCCTATGATTGGTTCTAAGTTAGAAATACAAGCAAAAGGGAATCTGGCAATTATTGACCAGGTCCTTACTGATGTTGAAGAGGTTGTGGTTGGGCTTCACAGACTGGTTGTTACAGAAGTTATAGTCAAAGTTGTATTTTTACGTATGGCTTGGCAATTGTATATTCACTTTCCCACCACTTACTGAGTTTTTGAAGACAAGATGTTGATCATATTGGTAATGATGTCCACGGTGTTGGTTACTTCTCCAATAAGGGCATGCATGACCTGAGCATTTTGCCAGACTTTCTAAGCAGTCCAAAAAGTGGCTTATCCAAAGAGATAGTTGGACCATGAATGTTTAGCTGGAATGGTAATAAGTTCTTCTAGGCTTATAACAAATCCTCAGACTTGAACTTGCAGTGATTCTTCAAATCCTAGGGGATAAAGACCAGCAACAGGGCAACCTAGAGTCCTAATAAGTATCTAGGCAGTCAGATTTTAGTTCTCAGTGACTACAAGTCTAGAGGAAGAAATAAAAATAGAATCCTCTTTAAGGCTGTTAGTTTGTAGCCAGATGCTGAAGGAAACTGGAATAATTGAAAATCTAGTAAAACAATCTGTGCCAGGTTAACAATCTGTGCAAGGTAAATACCAAACTGAAGTTTCCACAATGATAGAAAAAGCTTGGCTACAAAGTTTGCATATTGATGAGTTACTAGCAGTTTACAAAGAGGCACTAAATAGCTCAAGCACAAATAAACAGAATCAGAATCTGATAATCCAGAAAGATGTGCTGTGATTTCCCATGGAAACACAAGTTTTCTTTCTACAGTTACTCCTCCCCTTTTGATCAAGGACAATCTCAAAGAAAGATTATTCTTGATCACAAATTAAAGTTGGTCTCATGAGATTCAGCCTGGTTATTTGCATAGGTGCAGCAAGAGTGCAATTTACATATAGATCATATTATAGTTGCTTTGCTGGAAGTTTTCATAAAGAATGTCAAATTGGACTTTTCAAAGCCTCTTGAGGATAAGAAGCCAAGCCAACAACTCACATCAGATTACACATGCAGTACCTATCGATTTGGCAGGCATTCCTTTCTTCATGAGATCCCACAAATATCCTAAGATTCCAGAGCCTGCTGGGAAGTGATATTCCTTGCTCACCTACAAAGCTGCGAACCCTGCAAAACCAGGTTTCAAGCCAGTTTTCACAAGAGGAGCTTTGTAAGCATCGGCCCCATAAGGTCAACCTTAGTTCCTAAAAGTGTCTGGTCATATCTGATCAAATAAACGTCATTCTCAAATGTGACATCCAGGCAAAGCCTTGGTTGTATTACCAATGTTTTTGTGCCCTGTTAACAAAGAGGACAGACTCTTACTGAATCTATGCAAATAACCATATTGCCATGAAAATAAGAAGATTCAATGAGAGTTTCCAAATTTTGAATGGATGAGTCAGGGAAGAAAAGAAAGAAGTTTCATTTCTGTTTACAAGAAATTAGCATAGTTTATAAAATTGTTTGAGTGATAGCTTAAGAGAAAAAGAAAAGAAATTGTTATTTCCAGAAAATAGAACAATAAAACATCAACAATATTTCAAATAAAAATCATAACCACCTGCTCATTCAGTTCTATAAAATTAACTTTTCTTCCACCTGATCTTGTGTTACTTGTTTCATGAATGCATCCGCTTCTCAATTAGAAGTCTGCAACTCCTGACTCAGTCCAATGGTATGGTTTCATAGTCATTTGAACAATGCCATCAGAAATCTGTTCCCCAGAGTGTATGGCATGATCCTTTTCCACCAGACTGTAAGATTGTTCTTTTTTGCTGAAGATAGAAAACCTTAGCCTATAATTGATTGCAAGGATTTTATGGAAACATCAGTGTAAAACAGAACAAACAAAACTATCAGTAAATGACAAAAGTCTAAAAATGGCTATCATGTACATATTATTGATAATTTTCTTTATTTTATTTATTTTATTTTTACTTTTTTTTTTTTTTTTTTTTTGACAGAATCTTGCTCTATCACCCAGGCTGGAGTGCAGTGAGGCGATCTCAGCTCACTGCAAGCTCCGCCTCCCGGGTTCACGCCATTCTCCTGCCTCAGCCTCCCGAGTAGCTGGGACTACAGGCGCCTGCCACCAGGCCCGGCTAAGTTTTTCTATTTTTAGTAGAGACGAGGTTTCACGGTGTTAGCCAGGACGGTCTCGATCTCCTGACCTCGTGATCCACCCACCTCGGCTTCCCAAAGTGCTGGGATTACAGGCGTGAGCCACTGCGCCCGGCCTATTGATAATTTTCAAAAGTGAATAATCTGAATAGAGTTCATTATAAGAATAACACAATTGACAAACACATCTGGTTGTTTCTGTTGTACAAAATAAAATAAATTCAATCCAGAAAACATTTTAGACAAAATATCTATAAATACAATGTATTAGCAATATTTTCAAAGAGGTTATATCTAATTTATAAAAATGCTTATATATAACCTTACAAAGAAAACATTTTCATATATAACATAAAAATACTGAAACATTAGATGCCGCAAATACCTAGCACTTCATTAGAATTTACTAAAAATATATCAGTTATCAAGTAGAGTCAGTAAATCTGAAGTAGATTCTGAACATTAGAGTATTAATAAAAATGCAAAGATAAGTGAAGTGAATCCCCAGTGTAAAACTACCAGCCTAGCATATATTGGTTCCAAATAAAAGAAGTAAAGTTTTAACCAAGTTACATTTTGAAAATATAATGAATTATGACTGATAACACTATACTGTTTTTATCTAACATCAAGCAAAGCAACAGCAGGAGTCCGATAAATAGAAATATACCATGGACAGTGAAAACATTAACAATTCTGGGGTTTGTGTTGTCATCTCTTACAGCATTTCCTGTTTCCCTGGCAATCCTCAGAACTCAGACAGGAGGGTGGCCCCATCAGTGCATGCTGAAGGGCGAAGGCCTGGTACAGAGAATTATCCATTTCAAGCAGAAGGAAAATGGACAAGTTGTGGTGTTGGGACACATTACAGGATTGCCTGAAGGACAGCAGATTCCATGTTCATCAGTTTGCAAATAATATACAAGGCTGTACTAGTGCCGGTCCTCACTTTAATCCTCTATCTCCAAAACATGGTGGACCAAAGGATCAAGAGAGGCATGTTGAACACCTGGGCAATGTGACTGCTGGAAAAGATGGTGCGACAATGTGTCCATTGAACATTCTGTGATCTCACTGTCAGGAGGCCACTCCATCATTGGCCACACAATGGTGGTCCATGAAAAACCAGATGACTTGGGCAAAGACGGGAATGAAGAAAGTACAAAGATGGGAAATGCTGGAAGTTATTTGGCTTGTGGTGTACTTGGGAATTCCCAGTAAACGTTCCCTTGGATGAGGTCTCAGTGCCAGTAACACATTTGTTATCCTGCTAGCTGTAGAAATGTAACTTGATAAACATTTAACACTGTAATCTTAAAAGTGTGAAGAAAAAAAAAAACACACATTCACAATTCTCCAGAAACTTCTTATGTAGAATACAGTTTTAAACATGTTTATGGTAATAACATTTTACCCATACAAATTTAACCTGTGCAAATCTAAGCATCTCTTCTGATTGGACAATACTTCCTAGACATATTGTCAATGATAACATATCAAATCATCCTAACTATTTCCAACTCTCGTCTTTTCCCACAGTAAAAGAACACATCTTTGCAACTTTCAGAGATCCTCTGGGAAATCTCAAGGGCAATTTTGGGCACTGAGGAGGCTAGGAAGACTGTGCTTGATTGTTAGCTGAAACAACTTTTGGCTATTTTGCACAGGACTAACAGGCCCTCTGCTTTATGTGAATTTCTCAATTTAACTTGTTTGCTCCATTTTGGGTGCAGACCCAGCCCCATGTGCCTGACCACAAACCAACATTTCCTGTCTCAATTCTCCTATTCATATAATGTTTGAGGATGTTTGTTAAGTTTTAAGAATTCCCTCCCCTCCCCCCAGATTTTCGCAGGGTTTTGTTAATTTCCCCTCAACGTCCCACAGGTATCTTAAAAACTTTGCTCACTCATCCCTTCTCTGAATTAGGATTTGAGCATCTTTCTGTTATGCTGTTGCCCCACTCTTATTGCAATACTCCCCTTCTTCAGAAAGTTTTTCTAGACTAATGTCCAGATTAAGCTTCTTTTCTTTGACAATAATGATGCCACGACTTGGACAAAATGCCCATTGCCCCTGGCTCCTGCTTTCTTCACCCAGTGCTGCCTTATTGGACTCCTTGTGCCTCTCCGTGACTGGGGAAATCAGGATCCACAGTGGTAAGTCATGATTTCTAATCCAGTGTTCCAGACATCTGTCTGTTGTAGCACAGTGAGAAGTTGACTTATATTTCTCTCATTTTTGTCATTTTCTTCTGTTTTTCTATCTTTCCCTTCTGCCTTTTTTGAGTGTGGTGAAAGCCCCTCATTCTCTCCTGAGAATCATACCTGAGTTGAAATCCCAAGGCCTCTAGCACTGGCAGGTGTCCCTTCCATTTTCATGAGAAACTGTCAATTTGGCTATTGTTCTCCAGACCCCTCAACTGTGGGGTATGCTCTGTGTTACTATGGTAATAATTCCACCCACTTTCTTCAGAAAAAAAAATGGTAATATTTTACAACTTAAATTTCAATGGCCTCTTTGGAGAATGTAGAATTTTTCTAAATTGTCTCATTCTGCAAAGGGTGATTGAATCCTGCACCACCAAGATCTCATCGAAGCAATAGATGCTTTGTTGATGGTGATGGGCATTTGGTACAAAGAGGCAGAAAAAAAAATGCTCTCTCTCAAAAACTTTTCAGTGACCATTGCTTCTTTCAAAGACAGTCTTCCTTCCCCAACACCTCCTGTGACCTGTGTCTTCCATCACCTATCCCCCAATCTCTCTTTTCTACCATCTTCCATGTTCCCTTCAGCTCCCTTTAATTCTTGGATCTTCCTCTTTCAACCCTCTATCTCCTCCACCTTTCTGTCCACTCCTGCCAGACCTTTCCTCTCCCACTCTGGCCCCTCAATTCCTTATAATCACTTGAGATTTAAGTCCTGTTCCTTCATAGAAGGCTCTAGAGGAGCCCAGAGGCACTGAGAGCAACAGCCTGAGGCTAAAAAGGCTCACTGGAAACAGGCTGAATGTTTTAACCACTCAGGTGAACTCTGAAGACACCAGATGACTGCTTGGTCTCTCCTCTATGCCTCCCTTAAAATTGAGTCCACAACTTCCCTAGAATTATATACCAGAGCCAAGGGTAGCTTATAGGTCTCCTACACAAATATTGGTGAAGATGCTTCAGTTCTCATATTGAACATGTTACTTCAACTTGTCCATCTACCAAAAGTATCACCCTTATAAAAATATAAAGGCGAGGCAATGATGATACTTTGTTTCTTTGTTTGTTTTTTGAGATGGAGTCTCGCTGTGTCACCAGGCTGGTGTACAGTGGCACGATCTCGGCTCACTGCAATCTCCACCTCCCAGGTTCAAGTGATTCTCCTGTCGCAGCCTCCAAAGTAGCTGGGATCACAAGTGCATGCCACCATACCCAGCTAATTTTTGTATTTTTAGTAGACAGTGTGTTTCACCGTGTTGGCCAGGATGGTCTCGATCTTCTGACTTCATCATCTGACTGCCTTGGCCTCCCAAAGTGCTGAGATTACAGGCATGAGCCACTGTGCCCAGACAATACTCTGTTTTTTTATATGAATCAGTGAGTTTTGCATTTCTGTGATTATGCCTAAGTCATGGCTAAAATTTAAAAATTAAAGCTGTAAGTTGGCTATGTCTGCCTATATGTTTATGTATGTGTGTTTCTGCATGTGCACATACATTTTGTTTGTGTAATATTTTCCTACCTCCAGATGGTATTACCACATTAAATTATAATACACCTTAAATAAGCTCGTTTTGGGTTGGCTTAGAGATGAATGAGAGCCTACATAAGTATTCTTGAACTTCCTTGAAATTAGGATAATCAAATTTCTAACATCATCAGTGTGAAAAAAGTATTTTTATAAACGTTTAACAAAATGTTAAAAAAAATACAAGTTCACCAAATTTAGATAAACCTTTGGCCATTGAGAGTAGTTTGATATAATTGATTTAATAAATAAAGATAGCTATGTCTTCTGAGTTGTCCACATTATAAAAATACATTTTTGCTCTACTTGAGTATTTTTTTCCTAAACTTATACAAATATACTGAATCTCTGTGCTTGATAATCTAAATGCATTCTTGGTATACTCTAACTGTATGTTTGATATATTCATGACATATTATGTCTCATGATTATCATATATTTCTTTTATTTTTATTTTATTTTATTTTATTTTATTTTTTGAGATGGAGTCTCACTCTGTCGCCCAGGCTGGAGTGCAGTGGCACGATCTCACCTCACTGCAACCTCCACCTGCTAGGCTCAAGGGATTCTCCTGCCTCAGCCTTCCAAGTCGCTGGGACTACAGGCGACTGCCATCACACCTAGCTAATTTTTGTATTTTTAGTAGAGACGGGGTTTTACCATGTTGTCCAGGCTAATCTCCAATTCCTGACCTTGTGCTTGAGATCCGCCTGCCTCGGGCTCCCAAAGTGCTGGGATTACAGGCATGAGCCACTGCGCCCAGTTGATCATGTTATATCTGAAAATATTTTCTCTATAAAAATTATGCCCATCCACTTTCATAAATTTGATGTAATATCCACCCTTTTTTGAAAATAAAATTAATTATTATGTTTACACATATTTTCTCTGAAACTTTCTGTGGCAACTTTAAGTGCCATAATGACAATTAAATTTTTCTGCCAATTGTATTGTTTTTATAGCAAACTTTCATCAGATCTTTTACTTTCAAAAATTATCAAAAACATGTTAACCACGGCAATTTTAAGTCTTTTGTCATCTATGGAGGACTTAGTTTCAACAAAAAAGGACTGACTCAGAGATACATGGAAAAGGATTATGCTAGGTACTCTTGTGTAAAAGTTTCTAATTACGTTGTTTAAATAACTTTGGGACCAAAACAATGAACTGAGTCAGGAATTCTAGAACTCTAGTTGAAAAAGAGATGGGTTCATAAGACTACTAATCTGTGATCAAGTGGGACAAGAACTAATTACTTAGGAGTGAATGAACTGATGATGGATAATTATGGGACTTTTTGGAATAGGGCTATTCCTTTAAAGTACTATTTTCCTATTTTCTCTTTTTTTTTTTTTTTTTTTGAGACAGAGTTTTGCTCTTGTTGCCCAGTCTGGAGTATAATGGCATGGTCTCGGCTCACTGAAACCTCTGCCTCCCAGGTTCAAGCAATTCTCCTGTCTCAGCCTCCCGAGTAGCTGGGATTACAGGGGAGTGCCGCTACACCCGGCTATTTTTGTATTTTTAGTAGAGGCAGGGTTTCACCATGTTGGCCAGGCTGGTCTCAATCTCTCGACCTCATGATCCACCCGCCTCGGCCTCCCGAAGTGCTGGGGTAACAGATGTGAGCCACCACGCCCGGCCTAATATTCTATTTTCTGGACATAAGAAAACCCCTCCTCTTTTTTTTTTAAAGGTATTCATCACTCATAACAATTTCATAGACTATGCTAATTTCTAGTAAACAGAAATGAAACTTCTTTCTTTTCTTCCCTGACTCACCCTTTCAAAATTTGGAAATTCTCATTGAGTCTTCTTATTTTCATGGCAATATGGTTATTTGCATAGATTCAGTAAGAGTCTGTCCTCTTTGTTAACAGGGCACAAAAACATTGGTAATACAACCAAGGCTTTGCCTGGATGTCACATTTGAGAATGACGTTTATTTGATCAGATATGACCAGACACTTTTAGGAACTAAGGTTGACCTTATGGGGCCGATGCTTACAAAGCTCCTCTTGTGAAAACTGGCTTGAGACCTGGTTTTGCAGGGTTCGCAGCTTTGTAGGTGAGCAAGGAATATCACTTCCCAGCAGGCTCTGGAATCTTAGGATATTTGTGGGATCTCATGAAGAAAGGAATGCCTGCCAAATCGATAGGTACTGCATGTGTAATCTGATGTGAGTTGTTGGCTTGGCTTCTTATCCTCAAGAGGCTTTGAAAAGTCCAATTTGACATTCTTTATGAAAACTTCCAGCAAAGCAACTATAATATGATCTATATGTAAATTACACTCTTGCTGCACCTATGCAAATAACCAGGCTGAATCTCATGAGACCAACTTTAATTTGTGATCAAGAATAATCTTTCTTTGAGATTGTCTTTGATCAAAACAGGAGGAGTAACTGTAGAAAGAAAATTTGTGTTTCCGTGGGAAATCACAGCACGTCTTTCTTGATTATCAGATTCTGATCCTGTTACTTTGTGTTTGAGCTATTTAGTGCCACTTTGTAAACTGCAGGTAACTGATAGTTATGCAGACTCTCTCTTCTCTGGTAGAGATTTAACTGACTTTCTCTCACACTATGGAAAAACCAGTTTTTGTAACTACTAATAAATTGTACTTGAATCTGTTATCTTGCACAAATTGTGCACTTTTACTAAATTTTCAAATCTTCCAATTTTTCTCAATATCTAGTCATAAACCCCTAAAGTAACCTTCCAATGTTTCTCCTTTTTTATTATTTATAGTCACTGAGAAAACCTTACTATCCAGATCCCATTTGAGACCCTAGGTTGCCTTGTGGCTGGCCCCCAGGCTCTGAAGAATTACTGCAAGCTCAAGTCTGATGACTTGTTACAAACCTATGAAGATCCATCATTGCTAGCAGACTATGCATGGTTCTGTTTTTCTCTGGACAAGCCCTGACTGGACCACAAAAAAAGGATGGGGAAATGCTCAGGTCATGCATGTTCTGATAGAAGAGATAACCCAGACTCTGGGCAGCATTACCAAGAGCATCAAAACATTCAAAGATCAATGCTACATGATCAAAAGGGCTCATCCACTAACCTCTTGAAACCTTCTGGAATGGATACCCTTGGATTCAACTTCTGTCTTTCTCACATTAAGATCTCCTTTTATATTAACATTTCTCTTTTTTCCTTTTAGGCATCCAACTTTTAAGATGCCTGATCTGAAGGACACTAAAACAACTGACCTTTGCCAGCATGCCAAACAGATGGTTTAACTAGTCCTCCAGGAACAACACTGAGCAATCCTGACCTGGGACTATTTAACTCTGCCATCTCCTACTTGAGATTCTCCTTGTCTCTCTGTTCAAGGACACTTTTTCTGAGCCTTTCTTGAACAAGAGTGGAGGATTGATAGGGCGATTAAACTCTGTCCTTGACACAACTTTAGGTTGGTTTGCCTAAACCACTAGGTGGTCAAATCTATATGAACCTCCTCCAGCATTCTAATTTGTTTTCTCTGTCTTAGACCCAGAATCCCACTCCATGTGCCTAACCATAAACCAATCTTCATGCCTTAACTTCTCTGCTACCAATATTTGATGTAGCCCAGTAAGTTTCAGCATCATCCCTCACCTCCACACAGTCTCCCACCCCCTCACCGGCCCCACCCCCTCACCGCCCCCATCCCCACACACATATACCAGCTCTTAGCATCAAACTCCCTTCCACTTTCCATAAGCATCTCTCCCAAGGTCTCTGCTTATAATAGCTATGTTTGCTCACCCCATGCCTCAGACTTTCCTGGCTTAGATCTTGAGCATCATTCTATTGTAAGATTCTCCCTTAGTAATGTTTTCCTCACTTAACTTCAGATTTGTAAATTTTTTTTTCCTTGACAGTGCAAAAAGATACCATTTAGGATTTGATTTTCAGAAGGTAAAATATAAAACGTTGTCAGGAAATTTGAATACTTAATTAAGTAGGATAATGGATTACTGAGAAATAGTACTTGGTTATCTATTTAATCAAATGATGTAAAATAATTTTAGAGTAGATATAGGAGGTAACGTAATTGCAAAGAACTTCATCTCTTTTATATGAAGACTGTTCTCTTAAACAATCAAGGACTCGAGAAAGTCAGTACAAAGCACAGAAAATTATTCTGATGAGATTCTGAATGTTTATCTTCTAAGTAGATTACTCAGAAGGTAAAGAAAAATATTTTACAAACTCTTATTAAGAGAATACACTAATCCAAATAAAATATTTTAATAGAGAATAAAACAAATGCTAGTTTTGCATCTGCATATTTGATACTAATGCTTATATTAAAAATTTTGTAAATAAACCCATTAAGCTTTAGCCAGCTGTGACTACAAGAAATAAAATTTCCTATCCATGAACCTCCTACAACTTTATCTAGTTAGGGTTTTGTAGGGTTTTGCCCTACACTTTCCCATTTCTCATCCTGGAATAACTACTCATTTGACTTCAGAAAAAAATTACTCTTGTTTTCCTTAACAAAAAAATATCCTGCATACCTTGCACTCAAAATGTTCCTTCCTGCCACAGTCACTTCTACTAGAGTCTCATTCATCTCATTGATATATATTGGTTATAACTTTTTTTTTTAATGTTTTTTTGAGACAGAGTCTCACTCTATCACCCAGGCGGAGTGCAGTGGAGGAATTTCAGCTCACTTCAACCTCTGCCTCCTGATTTCAAGCAGTTATCCTGCCTCAGCCTCCTGAGTAGCTGGGATTATAGGCATATGCCACCACGCCCAGTTAATTTTTGTATTTTTAGTAGAGACGGGGTTTCACCATGTTTGTCAGGCTGATCTCAAACTCCTGACCTCGTGATCCACCCGTTGGCCTCCCAAAGTGCTGGGATTACAGGCGTGAGCCACCGTGACCGGCCTCGATTATAACTTTTAACTACAGTAACTCCTATTGCATAGAGAAACCTTGGAGGTAGTATAAAAGAAAAGTTACTGGATATGTATTAAAACTGCCAGATAGATCTTATTCAAACTGCTGCAGTAGGGGAGAGAGGTTTCTGTATGGAACTGAGCTCAACTTCTAATACAGCAAAGACAGTTGTGGATTTATAGCCAAGGAGTACAGCAAGGTGGTAAGCAGATGGAAAATTAACTAGATATCCAAGGTAGAGGGATTCTTGCTAAACTGACTTAATAAAATTATTTTTAATAATAAAACTGTTAATTAATAAAACTATTAATAATAAAACTACTTTCTAAAACTAAGATATCCAGAGTGGAGAGTGAGAAACTTGATCAAATATCCAGTGGTCTAATATCAAGAATTAGTAAATTCTTAATAAATTCACTGAGCAGGAATCTTTGCTAAAACTGGACTGGGCAAACCAAGGTCAAAGTCTACTTAGGAAGAATGCTCCAAGGAGCCTGACTCAAGTTTGGTCAAGGGAAGAGTCTTTTTCAGTGGATAATTGTGAACTATTTTCATACACACTATTTCGTAGGAGACTAACATCTTAGGAATATACATCTCATAATTTTTGCAGTAATAAACATCCCTATAATACAACTCACTGTAGCAAAAAAATAAACATGTTCATTAACGCACCCAAATATATAGACTGTCTGTATTATATAAAAAATAATAGGCAAAAAGTCTATAAGCAGAAAATTATACTTAGTAATTAATACTTCAGTATTTTAATCTAGTTAGATAATCTAGGTATCTAATGAATGCCCATTAATTTACCAAATTTGGCATCAGTATAAAGTTTTATGTTATCAAAAAATCTTGGTCTTGAGCCAAGATGACACACTATAAAATGTAATTAGTTACTTTTGAATTAACATTTGTCAAAACAGTGATTCAATTTAACTAAGTGAAAATTTGTATTTTTATAATTATAAATATATAGTAACTAAAATGATAGATTATTAAACCAAGAAACCTGTATAAGCTGAGGAAGAATGTGCCCAAGTAGATTAAATTGTGTGCTTGTGTAATACCTAACACTGAGAACTCAGAAGACATAACTGTTTTAATTAAACCAATAATATAAAGCTAGTCTCATTTGCCAAAATTTACCTAAATTATGTGAACCTAAATTCTTAGAATATTTGAGCTAGTATATATAAGAATATTAAAAGTAGAAATGCAATTATCTTAATTTCCAGAAATTTTTGAATATTTTATGTATATAAGACCTTAGTAAGCTCTAAGTTGATCAGAAAATAGTACCTTTAAAAATTTTGATAGTCTAATTTAGTAATACCATCTGGAGGCAGGAAAATATTACATACCCACAGACACATAAATATACATACCAATCTAGAAGACTTATCATTTTAATTCTAAAATCTCAGCCATAGGTCAGGCGTAACACAGAAATACATAACTCACCTGTTTCTATATAAAGGGCTCTTTTTGTTCCACTGGGTAGAAATTCCTGATTGAGTTCAAAATAGAGAAAAAATAGACAACAAACAAAAATCACAAACCCAATTTTCTGACATCTTTCTGACCTAACAGAGACACAATATCTGCAAACCATTTAATTCATTTACAGAGATTACCAAGTGACCACACACATACACCACACACACAAATTCAGCACTAGAGATCAACTGCATAGTCAATGAAAATTAAATTCCGACCATGCTACCAACAGACAAGAGTCTAGAACACTGAATTAGGAATAGGGCTCACCTTTAGGTCCTCGTATTGCCAGTCACAAATGGAGCATAAAGGCTCCAAGTGTCCTTATTACCTGGGTGGAGCAGATGGAGATCTGAAGGCATGGTCCCATTTTGAGTCATGGCACCAATCCTGTCAAAGAAACAGACAAGTTAAAAGATTGCTTTTATTTAGGCTATTGCAATAGGGAAACCACTCTTATATGAAGATGATGGGAATGGCTCAGCCTCTTAGGCAGTTTGGCTTTTATAGGGAGGGGTAAACACAAATGCAAATGATGTGGTTTAACACTGTTCAGTTTGCAAACTGCAGACGTCACAGTTTGCTAACTTTCCAAAACATTTGGAGATGTTTTTCTCGGTAGTGGATGTGGTTTTTCTTAGTAAGCTTCAGAGAGCAGAGTTATTATCTCAGCTAATCAGCTATGAGACAAAGAACAGGATGTAGATTTTTTGCTTTGTCAGCAGGTTTTGTCAGCAGATGAAAGGGTACAGTTTGTGGTAGGTCTTGTCACACTTGACCAAAGATCTTCTAGAAGAGTTTCACACAGAGATAACATCAGACAGGAAAACCAGAAACAGGAAGGAGGTTGTGGTCGTTCCCACCCCCACCCCCCACCCCAAGTAAGGCTAAGAGGCTGAGACATACCTCCTTGCAGGGTAGCTCACTTGCTTGCATGTGATGCACTTCCTTCCCATGCCTGCCTGCCCCACCCCACCCCACCTTCTTACACATAGCCTTTCTTGCCCTGTGAACACCCATTTCTACACCTCTCTATTTGCACTCACGCTGACTCATCAGTGTGTCACCTCATCCCTCCAAGGCTACTGTACTACCTTCCAAAATGGCCGCCTTCCTTCCACTCTTTTTTCTCACAATTTAGTTTCCACAGAGAAGCCAGAATGAACAAAAGTGAAAATCTGATTTTGTTACTAACCTGTTCAAATTTTTTTTGTCTCTCCCTATTACCCTTCAAGGAAAGCCTATGCTACATAGCACAATATTCAAGCCCTTCATGTTCCAGGTTACCCCCTTTTCTTGCCAGCCCTTAGCCAACTCTACATTCCAGCTCTGCGGAACCTCCAGCTGCTTTCCTACACCCCCTGAGCTTCTCCATGTCTAGGACTTTGCTTGCGCCTTTTCTTTCACCTCCAATGCCCTCCCTCCAACTGGCTAAGTCCCAATGTATGTATATAAGAATTTAGAGGATACCTCTTCTGAATTTATCCCAGGCCCCAACTTCAGCCCCCAGCCTTCCCTACCACCTTGAAGCTGAGTCTGGTTGAAATTCCTCTATTCCCTACCCTTTCCAGTCACAACACTTACCACACTGTTTAACAAGTTCCTCCTTCTTTTTCTGTCTCTGCAGCTAGACCAGGAGCTCCCTACAGGTCAAGACCATGTGTTCTCTGTTGTTTTTTCATGGCAAGGGGAGACATAGGGTTGCAGTGGTGAGTGGGCATCTGTTCTCAGAAGGCAGTGCCTAGAGCACTATAAGTACTTAATAAACTCTTGCGAAATTAAAAAGTGGGTGAAGTCACCGTATATGTTTAAAATTGTACAATACACTGGATTTACAGAACACATCTCAAATCCTGTAGAAACAAGACAAATTCACATAAAGCAATTAGCAAAAACTGAAGACTCTGACAGGTAGAATGTGAAATAGAATGATTTATGTTAATCAATTGTGTTACATCTCATGAAACCTAATGAATGCTAGAACATAGTAACCAGCCACTCTGGGGGTCTGGATATTCACTTATTTCAGGATTGACTTCTTTAACTCAAACTCAGGAGAGAATTCCTCCTTAAAAGCTAATTCTTGGGACATCTTCTGAGCAAGCCGCATACTGAAATCAGTTTCATTCCTTTTTAATTAACCAATGTGAACATCCTCTTTGCTTTCATGACTATGGGACATATTCCTCAAAGTCACGTCCACACTCACAACTATATTGGTTCTCACACAGTACCCTAAGCATGCCCAAGACTTGATAGATACTGCCTGAATTGGTGACTTGCAGAACAGCTGTACACCACTTCTGGGATGGTTTATGATTTCCTTAATGAGAGTCTTGGTTTTCTTTATCCCAAATGTATTGTCTGCAATATCACTCAAGATTGTTAAGATCATAGTCACAATTTAAAAAACAAAAGTATGTATCCTTACTAACTATATTCATAAATATGAGTTACAAAGTGTAGAATAACTTCAGAAGAAGCACACTCCAAAACTAGAGTAGTGCCATAGGTAAATTGCCTCTTATAGATGCTGTATCTCAGGAGAGGGCACTCAAAGGAGTAGGAAAGCTCTGAGGTGGAAACTGCATGGTTTAATTTGGGTTCCCCCAGAGGTAGACCCTGACACAGGATTATTGCAAATAGATTTGAAATGGGATCCCAAGAAACATCAGTAGGGGGCTGGAGAATGAGAGAGGCAAGAAAAAGAAGCTAAAGGGGAATGTCATTGTAGGAAACAAGGTCTCAGTCTCCAGGAGATGGAGCAGAACAGCCTCAGAGATGACTCACCTGAGCAGTAAGACATCTGAAATATTTAATTTAACAATTCCCATTGGCTATTAGTTGACAGCTGTCCTGAGGGTATTAATTCCCTGCATTTCAGCCCACCTGACATCAGGTCAAGCATATTATCATGGCAGAGGGCGCCCTTAGGTAGAAAGTCATGGGTTCTTGTAGCACAAAGAACACAAACTCTATTACATTTCAGTTGAATCTAAGCTGTTGCATGTGTAATAAGCTGTCTTAGCTGATAGGCAGGCAAAAAATAATTATGAATTTATTTAGTTTCATTAAGTTTCTGCAATACACCATCCAATAACTGGATTTCCAAACTCATTCTCAGACTTTCATTCACTCCTTTTCTACCTAGATGAGAACAGTTACCTCAAGCAAATTAAATGTGCTGATTCTGTCCTTTAAACTTTTGCTCAATCCACATCCAATACATGTTTCTTGTAGGTCCAGAAGCAGATCCTGATGCAGGGATCCCAGTATAAATGATGTATTAAGGATGTTCTCTTACAAGAAGGCAGGCAGGAAGCAGGAGAGGGAAGGGAAGAAGCCAAGCTGACGTGTGATTTCTCAGGAAGCTCCAACTGCAGCCTGTTCTACAGAAGGCTCTGAAGTATAAAATATACCCTAGGGTGGTCATGACTTAAGACAAAGGAGCTGGGTTATTCTATTCCCAATAGACAATCAAGCATTGGAAACACTGCCCTGAAATGCTCTAGGTGGGGCACGTTAAGTTTGTCCCATCTGTCACAGATTCTTACATTTTCTTGTTAGTCACAATTTCTGGGAGAAAATTTATAAACAGAAAACTTAGTGGAATAAAGTAATCTGTTGCAGCATTTAGAGCTGAGGCCATAAATGATGGTCATCATCTCCCTTCTCTGACACTGTTTTAGATTCCTTGTGAAACTTTGGCTAGTGCCTCTGTCAGTGTAGGTGACCTTCCTGGAGGGGCTACTAAAATCACCCTCCCTGAGGAGTCTAGGTCGCTAGTTACCACATTTTATCAAGCCATAGCATGATAATTCTAAGAGATGCCCCAGTAGGTTTCCCAAGTGCAGAACATTATTTTGTGTGCTCACCTTATATAGCAGACTATTCTCATGGTCCTGGCAACTCAGCTCTTTCATGCATCTTCTGCTGCTGAGCATCCACTGAGTTTCAGCTCAAGATCTTACCTCTTCCATAAAACCTTCCCTGGTCCTTGCATTCCTCAGTGCCTTCTTGTCCCCATAACTCAAAGAAGTTACTGCTTATGCCTCTCATCTGGCCTGAATCTCCTTCTGCATTGTAATTCCTCATTACAGAATGTTTATTGACCTTGGACAATGTAATTTGGTTGACTTGTGAGCGTATGTGTTGTCTTTTGATGGGAACCTGGGCACCTGAACAGGGTTCTGCCCCACCCTTCACGGGCTGTCTCCAGGGCCTGACACAGGTTGCTGTGTGTCCCCAGGCCTCAGGGAATTCACGTTGAATTAGCAACTGAACGGCTCACAGAATAGCATCTCTGCACCTTAGAACTACTTGTGATTTTTCTCATCATAAGTCTTGCTTCCAAGAGTTCTCTAACTTATTTGGTTATCAGTGACACTCATTATCATTCAGGCCACAATCATCTTTCAAAAAAAAAAAAGATAGCTTTCAGAGGCTTAGCCTTATTACATTTTAAAACCAGCCCTTAAAAGCATATATTTCTAGATTCTTTATTATTAATCCAAATTATGTGCAAATGAATGCCATAACTTTCCCCTACAACGGACAGGGTATTTTTGTTCTTTTTTTTTTTCTTTTTTGGCATTACTCAGACCTTGAGGTTGACAAACATGCTTTGGGGATATTGGATATCTGTGGAGAAGGCATAGAAACATTTACATAAAGAAGCAATTCAACCTATATTGAACACCTTTTGGGTGCCAGGAATTGCCCAAGGGACTTTATATAAACTGCATTGTCCACAGGTTTTTTTCTTCTCTTTTTTTCTGAAGCACATACATTGGAATATTTTGAGGCATTTTATAGCCTCTTGTGGGAGCTTAAAGGGAAAGGAGGAAAACTCATGTCACTTCGTTTTGCAATTAATTACTTCTTCTGGGAAGACTTTGCCTTGTAATTGTAGTATTTACGTATTTATTATTTCTGATTGCTCCTGTCTTGTATTCTCTATTCAGAAGCAAAACTTTGATATAAAAATAGTACTAAACTTGACTATGTATCTCCAGGTATCTAATCTACTCTCCACAAATAGTATTGAGATGAAATAAAATGTTACTATTAATAGAGGTTAAAATCTATTGAATGCTTGCTGTAAACTAGGCACTCTGCACAGCCCTTTACACACATCATCTTATTTAATACTCAGCAATTTTCAGAGGTAAGTACTACTATCATCTCTGTTTCATAGATACAGAAATTAAGGCTCAGGGCAGCTGAACAACTCCCCAAAGACCACGCAGCTAGTAAGTAAAGAAATTGAGCTTATGCTGCACAGAGGACAAAAAGCCTCCCTCCTTGGTTCTCTCCTTGGAGATGGCAAAAGAAGTTGTATTCTCAGCCTGTGATCTTGCTAACCAAGAGATCACAAACTCTTTGGGTCTCAGTTTCCTTATTTATTGAATTGATACTCTAACACCCACACTGCTATGCTCATCTATCTGTCCATCATTTGTCCGTCTTCAAGCATTTAACTTTCACTGCTTTATATTTTGCTTACAGGAGTTACTGATAGCTCTCAAAGAACATAAAGTATGTCACATTCATCTTGATACCTGTAGTTCCTCGGCCACTATGCTAAATGCTTTAAATATATTAAATCATTTATTCCTCATGATACCATAAGAAAGGTATTCTTTATATCCCCACTTATTTCAGACTTAAGGAGGTTATTTGACCCCAATCACAATTACATTAATGGTGTCAGATAGATTTGAACATAGACATCTGGCTCCAGAGTCCATGGTCTTAGTTACCGTGCTATACAAGAGAGCAACTTAATTTTCTTCTCAAATCCAGGTGCTGTTTCAGAAGAGATTTTCATATGTGTTTTTATCTCCTTTTTCTCTTTATTCCTTAGCTCTTGTTTTTATTCCATGATCTGCATTTATTTTTGTATAACTAGAGATGTGATTTTTCACTGCACATTACTTGTAAAATCCCAGATATGAAATCTCATACGGACATTAATTTTAATTTGCCATTGATTTTTTTCTTAGAAACAATATTGGAAGAGAAAAATTTTCCTCTAATTTTCAAGTTTTATGACCTTAAATGTCATGGGTAGCAAAAATGCCACTTTGGCATAATAATAATTTTGAGTAAAAAAATTGTGAAGATATAGATACCAAAAAAAAAAAAAGAAGAAGCAGCGCTCTGCCCTCCACCTGTTTTCCTAAAATTAGCAAGTAAATTTGCAAAAGTGCACCTCTTCACCTCTGTACCAGGAAAGATGAAAGTTAATCACCTTTACATAGAGACAACTTTAGATCCTTGTCAGGCTGGAGATGGGATGGTACCAGAAGGATCTGCAGAATAAGCTTTACCAACTACACTTCGTCTACCACTAGTTTTTCATATATTTGCATTTCCACAATTTACTATTCCTAGAGGTTAAAAGTCCCTTTCCTCTGTCTTGTCACTTCTCTAAAAATTTATTGTTCCTTTGCTATGTAAGTCCGAGTTCTAACCAAACCTTTAAATTACTTATCCCTGAGTTTCTCTCATGTACATATGAGATACACACATTAGTAAACTTCTGTTAGTTCTTTGCTCATTAATCTATCTTTTGTTGCAGAGCTTCAACTGAGAATCTAGAAGAGAGTAGACAGAAAAATATTTTTCCCTTCCCTCCAAATGCAAGGATAATCTTACGTGAGTCCTGGAGGAAGGTAAGTAATATTAAAGATACAAGAAGATGAATAGCTTCAGACTTTGCCTTTTAGACTTTCAGAAGATAAGGGTTTAGATGAAAATCAACACAAATCTAGGATAAAGCAATTACAATGAGTGGTAGGTCTCAGATATGCTAATTTTGGTCTCTGCAGGTCATGGAAAACAGAATTAAGACATAAGGACTGAAAAAGATTGTTAACTAAGTCCTTCACCTTTAAAAATGAGAAGTAACAAATAATTTAAGATTCAAACTAAGCAGAACATAATTTTGAAAAATGAACGCTATGACGAAAAAATCAACAGCAGTAAAGTATCTAAAAAAAGAAAAAAGATTGGTCAGTTAAGCTATTCATTGTGAAAACCTTGAGGTATAACCAAGAATATCCAAAAGCATTTCTGCCATCAAAACATTACCCTTAAGATTAATATTAAGAAATAAAGGAAACGAAGCCTAAAATATAAACAGATTCATTTTTTAATGTAACTTTTATTATTTACTTAAAAATCTGCAGTCAGAAAACATAAAAAGAACATTCACTAACCAGAGGCAAGTGACTACTCTCCCACAAGTTCTTAACACTTTGCAGTAAATTGTTATAGAAATAACCAACATCACACACACACACACACACACACACACACACACACACACATTCTTCCCAGCTTTCTTGCAATTGGTTTGGGATCCATTAGTGAGAGATGTTTTTGTAGCCACAAGTAAACAAATTTAGAAAAGAAAATAGAATAACATAGCATTTAAGCATATGACCTCGAACTAGGGAAGCAATAATATACAAAGTAAAGATAGATGATGATGGATAGGTAAATCATAGATAGACGATAAACAGGTGGGTGGATGGATGGATAGATAGATAGATAGATAGATAGATAGATAGATAGATACATACATACATACATACATACATACATACATACATACATAGATTTCAATTAATGGGCATTCAAAAAAATATTAATCACAATATTCACTCAGAATATTTAACTGTAGAAAGGTTATATTCCAAGGCCATCAACAGGCCAGTGCAGGTCTGCAAATGTTTATCTCTGACAAGATGAGTACTGAAATTGAGAGTAAGTCTTTAGAAACTTTTATAGACGTTTGGCAAAGAAATTTCAGGTCTCTTGAATCTAATGATAAAAAAAGAGCTGCATTTTATGCCTTTTTAATAATTTTTGTAGTAATTGATTTTTATTCTATTTTATGAAACAATCAGCATTAGAAATTTAAAAAAATAAAATTATCCTTTTCCCACAGGTAGTTTGAGAAGCTTGGAATAAAATTATATTTGGTCTTGGGGAAACTAGGGATTCTTCCTTCTGTTGTGGTTATACAAAACATACATTTAACGGGCCTATCATTTTATTTTTGCGGAGATTGTAATTGCTCACTATCAATGTAAGATCAATTACAGGAGGTGAGTGAACTGAGAGAAAGGAAAAAATACCTTCCTGTTTAGTAGTTACAAGTTAGAACTGTAGGCACAGTGTAACATTAGGAAATACAGCTGCTGACACACCAGTAGTTTGCCCTTTTGTACAAATAGTCCTGAGGTTATTATTATTTTTTGTATCTATACAGTTTTTCAAAACTCTGTTGTGGACTTTATTCTGTTATTCATAGACATGACAAGATAACTTGTCCCATTAACTTCTGGGCTAAAGCTACCTTTTAGACTAAAGGACAAGGAAAATGTAAGCATCCCTTTTAGGTTTTGGGGAATTCGTGATATCTGTGACATTAGCCTCACTTTGTTTTTGGTGGCACTTTTCATGTGCTGTGGTTTGCTGTCCATGCAGGGCAAAGCTGAGCTGGATGTATGTAAGCAAAAGATGCCCAAGAGTATAAAGAACTAAAATCTTTATACAAAAACAAAAGAAGATGTAAACCTCAAGCATACCTCCACCCATTTACACTTCTTAGCTCCAAACCACAAAGAGAACAAAAAGGTACTTTCTCAGACTTGTTTTTTTGTCACGTTTTTTGAGAAAAGTCATGGTTAACTCTTAAATGTACTGTCCTGGCCTTACTCTTAGATGTTGATCTTTTCAAAAAATTGATAACAGTTGACTGCTCTTAGAGAGCATCTACCTTGCCCCCCTAAACCATATCCCTGTTTCTTGGTCCACTGGTCCTATGACCAGCCTTGAACTACGGTACCTGTAATGTACAAAATCTTTGCAAATTGCCAGATGTCAAGGCTACTTCACATTTAGACCAACCTTCATGCTAGCAACACATACTTTTTTTTTTTTCTCACTTCTGTAACCTCTAAGAAGTTTTTGTAAAATTAGGGCACAGTCCGTTTTGCTGCCAGGCAGTTGTCTCTCCAGAATTCCTTCACGTGGACTGTGTCTATGGGTGAAAGTATATGGCTAATGTGAAATTCAATGCCGCAGATAACACTTACCTTGAAAAGAATGGAAGTGATATTAACGTGCCCTCTAGGTGTTAAATAGAACAGCTGGAAAACAGTTTAAATTATCGTTGACTGAGCCCCATTTTCGAACCCCATTTTCCATTGATCTGGAGCCGGCGTGTCCATTAAGGTTGTTGGAAGGACCTAAGAACACCTGTAGCCAGATTTGC